TATGATAAAACCTGGAAGCTTTCAAAGAAGAGCAGGGGACCTCAGCATCAGCAGGTCTGGCAAAGGTCCTTGCAATGGGTACCACAAGCACAGAGCAGCGACAGGAATGTGAGCTAATGGGTGCACAGGCACAAATAACTTCAAGTTACTGAGCCCACACCAAAATTCAGGTGTCCGGCAGCAGACCCCTCTCTCAAGGGGCTGCGATGAACACACAAGCCTGAGGGTGTTACACACATGGAGACGTCCTGCCCTCACCATCTGTCCCAGATGGCGCAAGCAGAGATGCTCAGACCCCACTAAGCCGTGGGCTGTCTCCAGCCCCTTGTATCTCTTATGTTGCTCTGATCTCAGTCCCATTTACATCTGTGGCTTCCTAAAACATCCCATGCCAATAAACTGCATGATGTAGTTACAAGGAAAACAGGGATTTTTGGGGCTGGGTTTATACCTGCTCCATCAGCCCTTCCACGCTGGGTGTGAGAATCCAAGGTCAGCCACAGCTCAGCATTTCCATGGTCCATTCTCAGGGTCATTGTCATCAACCCCTCAAGCTTCAGCCTGACTCCTCATCCCCTTAAAAGACTTCAGCTTGGAGCTATTTGTGCCAGGGTGAACAAGAGAACAGGAGGCCAGTTTTCATCGGAAGGACTAGAACATTGCTTATTTCGCCTACCAAACCATGGATCGGGGAGGAGACAGGGTGCTCTCCTCTCATGGCACTGGGAATAGCGTTACGTGTGATAAAATGGAGCTTGGCATGGAAATAAATGGGTACTCCAGAATATGGAAAAGTGACCAGCTTTAGGATTTGACGCCTTATTTCAGACAACTAGTTTGTATTTTCACACCATCTGTTCTGTTTCCTGCCAGGGGTCTGCCATCCAACTGACAACCAGATAAATGCAAAAAGATTAGGAGGCTCTTTTTTAATTGTCAGCAAACCTTTGTTGCTTGCAGGTCCATAGTTACATGCAGCTGAGTTAATGGCTAAGCATTTCTAACCATACGAGCACAAAATCAACTGAAAATGGGCGTTTCTAAGGACAGTGTGGAAATGCTCAGTATGGACTGGCAGCCAGGGAAGAGCAGACACCTTGCACCGGCTGAAAACCTGCTCTGGGAGGTCTGGCTCCCCATTGCTGGGCAAGTGCTGCAAGATGGAAACTCCCTTAGTCAGAGCGAGGGTGCTGGCTGTCGAACGGGAGCAGCCAGGCTGCTGGCAGAGCAGGTTTCCTTCTTTCTTAGAGCCCTGTATTTTTCTGTACCACACCATGAAGAGGTACTTCTGCCCTCCTTCCTGCTCTGCAAAATCCATCTCTCTCCGCTCAATCAATAGCACTGTGATCGCTGAAAGGATTGCAAATCTGCTTTAACTGCAAGCCCCTAAATGCACCTGAGTGTTTTCTCTGCACCGGTATGCAAGCATGCTAGACTCCATTTTTGGCATGGTATTGAAGCATGGTTTGCAATGGACTGGAGCTCCCCTGGTCCTGTGGAAGAACCATAAGAAGGTGTATTTTAGCAAAGTGCAATAAATTGAGACTGAAACCCATCATCACAGGGCCACCAGATCAGAGCAGACAGAAGGAGCTACTGCCAACATGTCCACAGGGATTCTCCAGGAACTAAAATCTCTGTATATCAGACCATTTTTAATTCATTGTCCACACTAGCTTCTAAAATGGGAAAACGTGAACTTATCCATTGAGCATTTACATCAATAGTCGTAAGTTATTTTGCCTTTAATTCATTTGTATTTACACACCAAATTAAAATTATCCAATCATTTTTCCAAATGGCTTTGTAGGAGCGTCACTCTGACTGTTCCATTCTTAAAATCCTACTTTTTAAAGCAATGTAGTCCATAGAGTCAGTATCTGAATGGAGATGTTTGCAAAACACCTACAAAACAGTTTTTTACTGTTATAATTATTGTCTTTTCTGGTTATAGCAGTCAATGAAAATTAGCAGTAAATTTTCAAAGGAGTCCTAGCATAATTACTGCTTACCGGGGAGATTTCCTTGGGGAGTCTTCTGCTGAGAAAATAAGGTTGGAACTAAAATAGGACTGCAGTAGAGTGTCTAAGTGAGAGTTTCGATACAGAACAGTTTGCGCACACTCCCTTGTTAGCTAGTACTTTAAACAGTTACAGAAAATACCTGTATTCAGATTTATATTGTCTCCCAGACACCTGCTGGGAATTTCAAACTGGAAAACACAGCATGACTTTCCTGCAGACCTTGCTCACATGCAAATGCTACCAGGCATTTGCAGAAATCCTACCAAGAATATTTTCTGTAATTTTATGCGCGTTTGTTGTAAAGGCAGAATCACTTGTTGACTACACCATAGTTGTGGAGAGACTGTAAAAAATATATGGAATTGTGAACAACTGAAGCCACAATGAAACAATAGATTAATGTGGTTTCTTTGCTTGAGGACTAATACTGGCCCTCATTTGTCATCTTTATTATTTTCATGACACTCAAAGATTCCCCGGGCATTTCACTGAAGAGGATGATTTTTGCCTGAGTTCACGAGACAGCGCGAGGCAAAGAGACACCAACACCAACACAGCAGGAAGCTGAAAGGAATCTGAAAGATTTGACCAGGATCCTTGAAGCATTATCACAAAGACAAATGGTCACAGGACATTGATTGTTAGGGCACTCCCCAAAATGTCTACCTTAAAGGTTCTGCCTGCAGGACTTTAACCTGAGGGCAGCCAGCGTGCAGCTGGAGATGAGACATTGCAAGGTCAGGAGCTGCTTTATTATAGCTAGCAAATATTAGATGGTCATATTCTGACTGTAGCCCATACATCACAAAGAAGTGAACTCTGGCAAAACTGCTCTGTGAGCTGGGACAGGAAAATGGACAAAAGCCTGTAAGTCTACATCTGTAGAAAAGGGAATAATGAGCAGCAACTTACCATGCATTAATATTGTCCCTTAACATTTTATAAACATATGAAACAAACACACTTTTTTGTTAAATAAGGTAATTTTCAGCATTTAGGAAAAAAATAAGTAACACTCCTTCCAACTAAAAACCTCATCTATTTCACAGACAGACAACAAAAGCTCACCAAGGTGCTAGAAACCAACCAACCCTAAGAAATACCAGGCAGAGGAACAGATACAGGAATTCGAATCTCCTGGTTTTTGCTTACAGCTTGCTACAAGCAGGAAAAGCCATGGGACAGATACCGAGTTTCTAAGCCATTTAATGCACTTGGAAAAGTGGCCTTTCCCAAATTTTGCTGCCAGTAGCACTTTTAACAAAGTGGCCTTGGCTAGTTGGGTTTTTTCTTGGATCCTAAAACAAATCATGGGGCATGAAAATACGCTGGGCACAGGACAACAGGAAGCATCTGTCCAAAGCATACAGCTTTCCTGGGTATTCCCAGTTCCCAGGCCTCCATCAATGCAGGTCATGACCACATCCCAACTTATGGTGAGCTTATCCTCACATCTCCCACATGAGGCAGGAAAACACTTGATTAGAGAAGAGAGACTCAGAAAGACCATGTAGTTGGGTTACCCACAGAAATCATGGATGAGCAGGGAGCCAAGCATCAGGTCACCCCATCTTTGACCAACAGCCACCACTTCTTTGCCCTTTATTTCTGCCTAAACATAGCCAGAATACCACCTCTTGCCTCCCCAGAGATGTATTTATACTACTTTTTCTTTTCAACCTCTATTATTCTTTTTTAGTTTGGTTTCTACCAGCTTACCTTTTAGGATGCAAAGAGACTGTGGGACATTCTTCACACCATTATCTTCTTAAGAACACGTTGCAAAGCAGAAGACAAGATTTCAAACATGCTGGAGCAAGCAGGACACTTAAGCTAGATGAGATAGGCCTGATGGTTAGTTGGTCAACAACCATATCAACACCTGAGAGGTAGACACTCGCTATCTTCCTGCCTGAATTGGCCCTTTGCAGCCCGTTAAGCACTAATCTGACAACCACCTATCAGGCTCTAGTCCCAGGCGAGGGAGACTCTGAAGGGACAAGACACAACACGTGCACCTGGAGGTGAAAAAGCACTGCTTGTGACCAGGCTGTGACTTCAGGCAAGATAAACTGCATGCAATGGCCAGATGAAAAGTGATGTAAATTCTTAAAGGCTAGAATAAGTGTAACATTTCAACCTATCCTGACCGCTCCCCATTCCTGATAAATGCTAGGTGTGTGGCTTGCTAAATCTTTACTTAAGCTTCATGTGTTTTAAAAAGCCATGTCAGGGTGCAGTTCTGAAACTCTCCTGTCTTGGTTTGACTGATACTTTACTAAACAAGCAGTTAGAAGCAAAAAGCCACAAGAGAAAAGTTAAAAAAAAAAAAACAAAAAAAACCCACAGTGGTTGCACGGTCTGCAGTATTGTAAATATAATACGCATTTGGGTTAAGAACAACTATCATCAATGGGTTAGCCCTACAATCAGGTAAAGACAGTTGTGCAGTAAGCATCCTGACTCTGATGGTGGCCACGGCAGATGGCTAGTGAAGACCATAAGGCCAAGGCAGGCCTGGAGAACGCCCTCTATAAAAGGTACCACCACTACCTCTGAAAGAAGTCAAAGGTGTAACGATCCGCAGTCTTTCATTTCCCCTGAAACTTCCTTGGCTTTAACACCCACAGGAGAGCAGTTTGCAGCTGCTTCTCAGTTCTTGTTTGCCAGCAGCTTCCAAATGCTGTTTTGCCTCTGATGAATCTGACAGAAACGTCAGCAGGCACATGATGCATTACGTGCAGCAGCTGCTGCAGCATTTTGATGGCCACCGTAAAGTAACTAAAGGACTTGGATGTGTCGGAAAGAGCAAAGATTTCAGGTCAGCAACCCGACTTCCGAACTTCCAAAGGAGAGGTGGATGAGTTACAGTACTAGGTGTTTCTTGGCTTGTAACTTTTGCTCTGTATCACTTACATTGTTAAACACATCGCTGTATCTTAGGGAATGCCATACACAAACACCAACAGGCACTCAGCTAGCATCAATTGTTTAATAAAGTCTTTTCTGTTTTTAAAAAAGTTTACAAGACAGATGTGTTCACAACTAGTGGCTGATCTTTCCTTTTAATAACTTAATCCATGCAGAAAGACTGGACTGCCTAACTTGGTCTTACGTAGCAGCTGAACAATATACCAAAATATACAGAGATCTACAAGCTGCCAGGGAAACAGGTAGCACATGACACCATAAAGTGAGAATCAAAATACAAGCCTGCTTGGATAATTTTCAGAATTCAAGTGTAAGTTTAAGGAAAACCCCTGATTTATCTTTGAAATGGAGCTTATGTACTGCTACAATCTGCCTACAGTCACCCTTTATTCAGCAGTCATGTGAAAACACATACACAAAAATGTTACAAGTCCTTTTTACTACTGATACTACACATTAACAACTGAATCTGATAGCATTGCTTTGGTTGTTTCAATACAGAATGATATAGGTTTCTAACGTCTTAGTTCTGTTTTCCCATTTTCCATTCTTTTCCAAAGTCGTTGAAGAGTGATGCTGAGGTGAATGTCTGTTGGGTCTCTCTTCAAGAATCCAGCGTAGCTTTTGTACGAGAAACTGTGGAAGGCAAACAAACAGGAACATTACTACGAGTGGAAATAGAATATGATTCCTTCAAATCCCATAGAGAAACCTATCTTTACCTATTGTCACAGCATGAAAATTAATGCTAGGTTCTCAGTATATCACATTTTAGAAATGTTCAGTTCCCTAGAATTTCAAATGCTATTGGAAAGGTCAGACTGGCCAAAGCACTCTAGAAGGCTTGCAAACTCCTGCTCTCTCAAATGTTCTTACTTCAACACACAACCCAGAAACAGTGGGGGAAATCTTGTATTCCTGTAGCATGGCAGCAAGGCCAGCAGTTGCTGAGAAATAGTACACCCTTGCTTATTTTCTAAGAACACGTTCTCCTTCCCAATGTGCCTGCTCATCTCCAGTATTAAAACAGGAAGGTGCACTGAGCATAAACCTGAAGAGAGCAGAACTCATGTGATTCCAGCTGTTGTACGATATGACAATCCACTTTTGACTGCAATGCAATTAATAAACAGAACCATTTCACACCAGTCTTGAAGCTTCTCTCCATGAGGCCAGCGTAAAAAAGCCTGTGGACTTGAAAGGTTCTTTGATCCCTTTTGCAGGTCAATCCAAAACAAATTAGCATATTTCGAGAAATCTATTCAATGCCTTATGCAAATTCATTTATATTAGTACTACACAGATAATACAAACTTCTATAAAACAGAAATCATCCCCCAATGTCTGACGACCAGAGAAATTAATGGAATTTTTTTTTTTTTAAAAAAGCAACTTTCTGAGCAATGTGTGATATTGAATTGAAATCACAAGCTAGACTGAACGCTAGGGATGGGAAAATAAGAGAAAGGTTAGACCTTAACTTTGCAAAGCTGTTAATAATTAAACTGCATAGCCAGCTCAAGGCTTCAGTGTGAAGATGAGGGAAATAATACTTTCTTAAGAACTTAGACATGTTTGAAAGTTCAAAATCAGCAATGTAGCTTTTTTGGGGGTGGGGGGAAGGCAGGCAATGAAAGCTGTGTCCTGAAGACTTAAAACTGACTGGAAGAGTATGATAAATACATGTCTACATATGTAGATAATCCATGACACAGGATTCAGGTCTATATTCAGTCTACTTCCATTCACTCATGTCCAGGCACGTCCTGCAGGTCCAGTGACTGAAGGGAGAGAAAATCCCAGTTCTCATACTGAATTCAAGCAGCAAGTCTGGCTCTCGATGCGTGGCATAATGTTCTCATTAGCTGGTCAAGGTATATGAAATAGCCTGTTATCAAGTCATCCTGGGAAAGAACAAACTGGGGAGAGCAGGGTAGGAACCATGATAGGAAGTTGCAGTTCTGGCCTGTCTCCAACTTCTGAAATGTTTTCCACTTCCATTGCTGGGGACTATGTGTTATTTGGGTATTACAAATGGTGGGGGCTGTTCCAGAGTGGCCTGCCTGCTAGGTAAAGACAGAGAGAGAAACACAACCATGTATCTCTGCTCTGAAGAATATAAAGCAGGATTCTGATTCAAGTGACTGCTGTGTTTTAAGACCAAAATTTTAGATTTCCTGAGTCAACCTGGAAACAGTCATGCTGAGCCAGGCTCACAGATACACACCCCCAGCCAAGCACACAGCTGGGAAGAGGTTTTCACCCACTTCTACATTTTGATGTGCCAACGGCAGACAGAAGCAGAGGTTACCCACCAGCAAGATTATCAGAATTTCACCTTTCAGCACTTCTAATGCAACTCTCTGCATGTGCTGCTTCAGTAAAGCACCCAGGGTTAGAGACTGCCAAGCAGGAGGACACAGCTTTACAGAGGAGTGGAAAAGCCAAACCTGAGGCCTGCTTTGGATGAGCTAAGGCTCTCTTTCTGAAGACACGTCTCCTTCTGCTCCACTGCTTGCACTGGGGTCATCCTTGTTACGGGGGGCATTCCTTTCTCTACTTGACTCAGAGGGCACCTTGGTTCTGGTCTTCTCTTTTCTTTGTTGTTGTTTTTCAAGTTTTGTCAGCTATTCACAAAGTAAGAAGAGTGAGAAAACACTTCATGGAATAAAATAATTTCAGAAGACTATTTCTAAAAAATGGTAAATGTGAGCATTTGTATAAAACTTGCAACTCAGATTCACAACACCAATACATATATCAATAAAACAGAAAAGGAAGAAAAAAAAGCCCAAGGCTCAGATTTTCAGAAATTTGAGGAACACGGTGAATTATCATCATATGCTAATACAATCACCCCGAGTATAAAAGAGAAGTGCACATATTCAAAGGACTATCCTCTGCTTTCCAGGGTTCCTTCTCCACCCAACACAATCTGCAAACATGGAAAAGAATAAAACACAAGGACCAAAAGGGGGAGCTGGATTCCACCAAACTCCTCTTCTGTTTTGGGTCTTAAGTGGCAGTTTTGTAGTTTCAAAGTTGCTGACAACAGATGTATCCCAAGTTCAGCCACCCAGCACATAAGAATAAATTTATTTTATTCTTTATCCACAGAAAGAGATATATGAGCCTTAGCATCACCTAGGATATAGATAACCATTTCAAATCAGCTTGGACAAAACCCTTGGCTAACACTGCCTTGCCACCTCTCAGTAGAAATGCTTTCAAGGCTACTAAGAGTCAAACTAAGTTGCACATAGCTGTCACTTCTACGTTTCTTTCCCATTTTTCAGAGAAGCAGGTTGCAGTAAGTTTTGGGGACACTACATATTGATAGCTACTGAAATCACTACACTTCGTGCAGTTTATCCATTTGGATAATTTCTGTAATCTACTGATTTTCTCTACTGCTTCCACAATTTCCCCAAGATAAAACATACTAGTCATAAATCATAATTTCATGGCCAGAAGATCTCTTCTGAGGTGAAATCTTCATAGAATAAAATAAACTAGATTATGTGTGTCAATTACGAATTAGACAGGCTCATGGAAGATGCATACAAAGACGTAAATCTGAGCTCCAAGTCAGTAAAAGCAAAGAGTGCAGACTGCAGAGCCTTGGCAGGATGCACAGCATCCCCTTGTACCTTATCCCACATATACACACCCTCCTTGAACACCTGCACACATGGACTTCTAGCCTAACACAGAATATTCTTAGCTGGCTATTTCAAAACTAAAAATATTTTCTTTTTCCTATGTGAAATGACAGAGTACAATGTATCTGTTTGTCAAGCATGATCCAGTCCTCAAGTCACATGCATAGATGTAACAAACATGTTGGGCATGATACAGGCAATATTTTAACTCACATGTCTGACAACATGCACACTACTCTTCTGCCAACAAGCCTATATACACAGCACATAAATGTTAAAGGTAATTGATAAAGTGAGTGCATCTGCAGGAAGGGAAACAAAAGTTTGTAAGCCCTTAGTATTATAGGTACTCAACCTTAATTAATGATACTCCCATGGTCTCTATGCAGTTGAGTTTTATTTTTGCAAATGGTATTGGGGTCATCCAGCTGCTGAAATCAGAATTGGGGTTTCAATGATCTTCATGGCACAACAATATACCGGAAGAGGGAAGGCACACTACATTAGCTGCAGGCTGCAGAGACATGAAAGCACAGTTCCTAGGTTTCAAAATATAGATTTGTACACATTTAAATAACTACGTGAGCAGGTAGTGCATATCCATCATTCCTCACTGGCCCTCAACCTAGCAGTCAGTAATTGCAAAGTACCCCCAACACAAGTACCCCCCAACACCAAGCCAAACCACAGTCAAACCTCCTGCAGCAAACCTATAAACAGCTGTTGCAATCTGCACCCCTTTCTTTTACTGCAGCATCAAGGCTCCTAGCAATGACCCTTTTTTGACAATAATGATGCCAAAAAAGATTTCTGTTACCTTGTAGTTCTGTAACTTGTAACTCCAAGAAACTTCATTGTTTCTGTAAATAATGTGATTACTGAATGATATGATAACCCCTCTTCTCTAATTAGTGTTTCTTATCACTTGAAAGAAGAAAAAGCCTAAGACACATGACACCGATAGTTTAAATTGAGTTACCTTTATCTTTGAGAAGGCTGTGAGCTAACCCAATAAAGCTAACCCTGCATTTTCAAAACATGAAAACCAGTAGCGTATTCACACTGTGAACCTTGTGTTATGCAATACAGAATCCATACCCACAATGCATATTTGTTCATATATAATTTACCTATAGACGCAGAAATGGCTCAATATATGATAGCATGTCATATTACCATTTCAAATATGCCTACACTGGCCATTTTCCAACATGGTCTTGGGGGCAAACAGCATGCTCACTAAGACTCCTGAAGTATATATAGTTATATATAGTTTTATAAATACATATATATATGTGTACATATATTCTGATGTACAAGGGGACCATGTTTTCTGTAGATATAGAAGTAGCATTCATGTCCTAAACAGTATGCGACAGATGGTCTCCAAAGTTATGACATGTATATTTATCATGGAGGATCTGACCCAACTGCTGAATTTCTGAAGCATGAAAGAAGTCAGAAAAGTCATGAAAGATCTCAAGTGCTTAAGACCATCTCCCTCATGACCACACACAAAAATGCAATTTACACCACAGACATGAAATTCTAAAAATTGAATAATTACAGTGGAAAGCTAGACTGCACTGTGAAAGAATGTTTCACCAAGGCAGAAACGTCTGCCGTTATGTCAGCTGTAATACTACATCACACCACTTCTGTAATCAACTTGCTGTAGCAAAAATATGCAAACAAACTGGCACACAAAGTCACCCACTTGAAAATGCTAATAATTCTCCAGGTTGCTTGTTTTGCTGAAGTTAATTTCCCACATTCAGAAATGCCTTAGTGTCAGCCTTCCTTGTAGTTCTACCTTCCTGAATACAGAAACGTATCCTTTGTTTTCTTTTTTTCTCTGTGATCAGTGTGTACACAGAGGTTGATTGCTGCTCTAGAGACAGCTTTTCCTTTTGCAATAGCCATGAATAACAGTAGTAAGAACTGAATGACACCAAGAGAATTATTTTGTTAGCAGTCTGCCGGAAAATCAGTGGCAGTGTTCATGTTTCTGGAACCTCAAACCACAAGAAGATCTGCAGATGTACATTTTAAATTTCAGTAGTGGCATGCCACGCTGCTACAATTTCAAATCCAAAATAAAATAAATAAATCACAACAACTTTAAGGACAGGTTACATTTCAGGAAGAGACCAATCCTTCAAACTGCCGCAGGGCATTACAAATCTAGCAGTTTAATACTAATGCCACTAAGCAAACTATAGCACTGAGACAAAATGGTTACCAGAGGTCTACTGCAAAAATAAATCAATGGAAAGGCTGTGACAGAAGAAGGGTAGTCTTCACAATCTGCTAAGGAGATGGCAGACCATCTGACTTTTTCCTTTCCACGTATCTATACCTTAGACTTACGATCAAAGTGTTATTAGGAGTTTTTTCCTCTTTGAGAAGAGGACACGATCCTTTTGGCCAATGAGCAGCTCATGCAAGGAATTATATACTTCATTTTGTTCCTAGAAGAAACATGAGCAGCTCAATGAAGTTACACCACAGAGGCCCAAAGCCTGAGGCAAGAAAAGTGCTACCAGCCCTTCACCAGTTAGCCTGGTCTAACTCACTGCCCAGGGTATTGGAAAAATTCCCTAGCCAAGCAGTTTATCAGCTGCATGGCTTCTCCACTCACTTTCCTCAACTGCTCTTTATCACCAGTGATACAGATAACCAGTTGAGCTCCCTTTGGTTCATTTACCTCACCAAAACTTTCAGTATAAGAAAAGGAACTCACAGCTTTTAGATTTGTTTCTTTCAAAGTAAGTTCAAAAACAGTGCAACTGGAAGAAGAGAAACATCAAATCTGGCAACTCAGCATCTAGAAAAAATGTCAGCTGATGGTGCCAAGGAGAGGACTGTAGTTTATTTCTCATAACGGTGCATATGTTTGCATGGGAAGAAAGAAAAAATAGGTGACAAAAAACAAGCTCAAAGACAACAGGAAAAATCCATTTGCTGCATACGGAGGCCCTCACTGTACAGCCACTTACCATAGTTTAATATTATAAAATATCTGACACCAGCTGCATCAGGACTGTGCTACTGATCACACAATTCCAAGACAATCCCCATCTGTCCCGCAAATAAAAATGCAAGCTGAAGCAAAGCCATACTTGGGGAACTGAAAACACCTTCAGTTACATTATATTAAAATGTTCTAACTGAAAAGTGATAGAAAGGTTAAAATACTAGATTTGGGGTTTCTCCACATTCAGCAGAGAAATAACTTTTGGCTACACAGTTATGAGAAGTTTTTTAAGGCATTAATAATAGAATATTTATGTGGAATTCGTTTAATGGATCTTCCATAGTCAAGATCCTCCCGCCATTTAAAAATGTAAGTTACTTAAATGTCAGTCTTGAGAAGTTCCTCTCTCATTCAAAACACTGACATTTCCAAGGGGCATTACATTATTATTTATGCTTCATATTGACAAAGCATGCACATGCTGCTTTACAGTACTGATACCGGCAGGTTCAGTAACAAAGATCTGCTCCAATGCTTTCATTCTTCTTACCCTCCCACTACAGTGTCCAGTTCCAAAATACGGTTTAGAATACAATGTAGTTTATTTCCTTCTGGACAGTAATGGAACAAATGGGCCCACAGAGATCAGTTCAGTGTCTAATTAGAATATATGCATTAAACACTGAAAGTACTATGTCACTTCCCCTAGCAGAAGAAATAAAAATGCACAGAATATTTCCAATCTGAATTCCATAATTATCCATAATGCTTTCAAAGTTCCAGAGGCTTTTTTTGATTTGTTGTCATGTCACCTCTCCAGGCACCCTCTCAAACCTCTTCCTGCTCCATTTCTGTCTGGCTACTTCTACTAGCTACAAATTCCTACAAAAAAATAGAAAGCACATCTCTCTAACCTTTCCCAAAATGGGATATAAATATACAAAGCATTCTGGGCATAGCTAACCTAATCTGAGCAACAATCACAACA